TAATTCTCTTTCAAATTCTCTTCTTATTAAAGAATATTTTAATCTAAAAACTGTAGTTAATCATTTAATTAATGAAATACTATTTTTATGTCTTATAACAGATGGTTGGTCAAATATTTGTAGAGATTCTATAATCAATTATATTATTACAACCCCTAAACCTCTTTTTTTCAAATCTATTCATATGAACGAAGAACAACATACAGCATTAAATATTGCAAATGGAATAGATAATGTAATACAAGAACTGGATGTCAACAAATTTGTGGCTATTATTACTGATAATGCAACAAATATGAAAGTTGCTTGGAATATTCTTATGATACGATATCCAACAAAAATATTTTTAGGATACTGGGCTCATGGAATTAATCTTTGGATCAAAGATATTTTAAAATTAGATTGGTCAAAAAATATATTAGAAATTAGTAAAAAAATTATTAATTATTTTCGAACACATTATATACCATTGGCAATACTTCGTCAACTTCAAATAGAAAAATATGGACATATAATTTCTTTAGTATTACCTATAGAAACATGATGGGGGTCTGCATTTTATTGTATTGATCATTTATTACAAACAAAACATGCAATTAGTTCATTCTTAATTGAAGATAATATAGAAATTAATTCTAATATTAAAATTCATATTATAGATGATTCTTTTTGGCAAAATCTTAAATATTTCCAGGATTTTTTGGAACCTTTTATTAAATTTATTCATGAATTGGAAGGAGATACACCACTTTTATCAGTAGCATTTTTTAAATTACGACAATTAGAAAAATTAATACATAATAATACTGAAATTCCAAATATTGTAATTACAGAAAGTTTAAAATTAGTAGAATGGCGTTGGGATAATTTTTTATATAATCCGGCAACTATAGTAGCATACAAATTGGATCCTCGATATTGTGGAGAAACTTTGAATCCAAAAAGATGGGATGCTATAATTGAAAGAGAACTTATGTATCTTGCTGGACCAGAAAATGAAGATCAGGTTTTAGAAGAATTCGCCAAATTCGTAGGAAAAATTGGTAGATTTTCAATTAATCATTTGTGGGGTTCTATAAAAGAAAAACCATATAATTGGTGGAATTTAGTTAAGGCATGATATCCGATATTAAGTGATATAGCATTAAAGGTACTTTCAATACCTGCAACATCAGCTGCTAGTGAGCGAAATTGGTTTACTTTTAGCTTTATCCATACCAAATTGCGCAATCGCCTACTCAATTCACATGTAGAAAAAATTATATATATTTACTGGAATCTTCGAATTTTACGTTCACTAAAATGGTCACTTTCAATTGACGAATTAAAAAAAAAAGGTTATTTACTGGAGGAAAATATTAATACAGAATCTAATGAAATTGAATTGATCGAAGAGGATAATTTTTTATCTGATGATTCATCATATATAAATATCATGAACAGCACTAACAAAAACGACACAAGTAACGCAGACCATGATATAAATAGCATTAGTAGTATAGAGGATACAAATAATAATGAAAAAGTGTTATTTTATCAGATGTAAATAATTTTGAGTTTTATATTGTAACCAATTTAGCGATACTTTTAATAAATACTTTGCCATTTAATAAACATATAAATTTATGATTTAAAAATTAATTAAATTATTAAAATAATTTATGGTAAGTAATAAGTTATAATTAATTTATTTTAAGATTAAACGATAGTTAATTTATTTAAATAAAATCTAGCATTTATTTTCTAATTATTAATGTGAACGCGGTAACAGATGATAAGAAGAGAGACTTTTAAGGAAACATCGTGAGAAGCTAGAGTTGCCATTATTCAACAATGGAATCCTGATAATAAATAAAATCAAGAATGCACCACAGATGAGACTCTATGTGAAGAAGAAAAGTTTGATGTGAGAAGACTCTAATGACGACTATCAACTATAAATCCCATGCCTCTTTTATATACCTGAATCACATGAAAGAGGAGCCGACCTCGGTCGGTGTAAAAAAAGTGTGTTGCTTTCCGATTCTTTCTCAATTTCATTTCCATAAATCTTCCCCTTGTTTTTTTCTCATTCTTTTCCGGTGATAGCGACATTTCCTTGTTAGCTTCACCTCGCCGGACTACACCATGTCTGGAATGTGCCAAGTCTGCATATGCAAATTATTCAGTTCCTTAGTAATATAGCCTTCCTTCCTTCCCTTCTGCTTCCAACCTCTCCATATCTTTCTTTCCTATCCCCTCTACAACCCAACGTCATGCATTCATCCCGACAAGAGCCATTTGATGGAGATCTAGAGAGAAAATAACGAGTGATTAGTAATTAATGGAACAATAGAAAGTATTGATAAAGGAGTGGGATGTTTTTGCATAACCTGATCAGGAACTCTGATGATGATTATAAACTATAAATCTCAAGCTTTTTTTACATACCTGAATCACATGAAAGAGGTGCTGACCTCGGTCGGTATAAAAAAAAAAAGTGTTGCTTTCCGATTCTTCCTCAATCTCATTTCCTTAAATCTTCCTTATGTTTTTTCCTTATTCTTTTCTGGTGGTGGCTATAATTCCTTGTTGGCCTCATCACGCCGGACCATACCATGTATAGAGTATGCCAAGTCCACGTATGCGAATTATTCGGTTCCTCAGTAAATAGCCTTTCTTTATATCTGTTTCCAACCTCTCCATCTCTTCCTTTCTCGTCCTCTTTACAACCCAACGTCATGCATTCATCCCAATGTCCCTTTTACAACCCAACATGGTACACAGTTATCTCAATGAGAGCCATTTGATAGAGACTGTGAGTGAGTGAGAAAAGAAAATAACGGGTGATTAGTAATTAACAGAACAATAAAAAGTATTGATAAAGGAGTAGGACGTTTTTGTGTAAGTTGATCAGGGACCAGGACACATCGTCAACATTGGTGATGCTGCCCCAATCTAGCAGAACAAGTAAGAAGCGAAAGTGAAAGGAATACCTTCAGTTTGCGAATTCATAAAGCTTGTAGTAACCTGTTTAAATAGTATCCTCATCAAATTAGCCTTACGTGTTGTGGATACAAGTTAGCAAAACAGTTTCGTGTATAGAATAGATTTTAGATAATACTCACCTAAATCTAATGGAACTGATAAATTTGTTTTGAACTTCTAATGTAGAATATCAAATTGTGATGTCGACATAAATAACAAGCATAGAAAGGTAATATAACACAATTAACCAATAAAAATAAGTACAGTATTGTTTATAAGAGTTACGTAATCGAAATCATATTTAATATATAATTGTAAGTTATATAAACTTACATACAGTATATTAAGAATGTCTTTTATATATATATTTGTAACTTATATATAGTCATGTAACTTACAATATAACTTACAATGTAAATTACATTGTAAGTTAAATTATTACAACCCTAAGGGTAGTGTTGAATGAAATTTCTAGGTCAATTTCTTCAGTTTCGATTTTGTGAAGACAGTTGTGGATTATCTTGTGGAACCATAACTTATCATCAGCATGATGATCATCCTTAAGTATAAGTAGGTGATCTATGATCTTGTCTTGTTTATATATTGTTTTTGCATCTAGTTGAATGAAGTCTTCATATGTATTTGTACTGTAAGACATCTTGTTTCAGAGTGTTTAATACATAGGATGTTTGTGTATTTGCTTATAAACTGTATGTCTATTTGTAAAGGTATGTCCTATTATTGCTATATTGTCAGATATTTATGCGTGTTTCTGTTGTGTGTTTGTCGTGTAGCTTGCAAATGTCATGTTGGCGTGTGGATTTGTTATGCTGCTGTATGCTGTGGTGTTGATAATTGGTATATGTTTATTGGTTATTTCAATGTGCTGCTGTATAAGTGCTTGTTGTATTAACAAGTTTGCTATGTGTTTTGTTGTTTATGCTGTTTGACATGTATCTGTGTATTTGTAGTATTGTAGTAGTATTGTATTGACATGTTAACGTGTATTTGTTTCTTGCTATTGTTTTGTTGTCACAGCTTTGGGACATGTGTGAACGCGTTTGGATGTGTCTAATTGATATTGATGTATTGTTACTATGCGTTCATGTAACTGTTAATCTTTTGGAGGGTTAAACTGTTTCTGGTTTTTCTTACTCCTAAGTGTTTGAGTCGCATAACAGTTGTTGTTTATATTGTTGTTTTGGGTTGGATAGTGTTTTCTTTCCTTAGTCACAGTAAGAGAAAGTCTTGATATCCTTCTGGCCCTTGCTTTAGTGACAAGGTTGCCTGGTTTACCGGATGTGATCTGACTAAGCAAGGTCCTTCTGGTGTCTAGGGAGATATCTAACTTGGTGCACGACTAGCCAATAGCTTGTGAGGTGCGATGCTGACTTTCTCTCTTGATTTAATTGTGAATTGTATTGTTTGTTTTTTTCTCTTTTATAGTGAGAAGTCCCAAGTGTATTTCTGTTTGTGTGCTAAAAAAGAAAAGAGAAGAAGTTAGTTTGTAAAGTTTTAATGTATACCTGTTTGATATTTTCTTTTTGCTTAGGAGGTGATTGCAAAGTGTTTCTTTCCAAAGGATAGTTTTTCCTGGTGTTTCCTTTAAATATTTCTTTTGGTTTTTTCTGAGTTGCCAAAAAAGGAAATTTTTAGAATTTTTTGTGGTTTGCAAAAAGAGTTTTTTTAACTGTTCTTGTAATACTTCATTTTTTAATAATAATTATCTATTAAGATTCTTTAACTCATCAATTTTTTTTACAAGTATTTTATATATTGAATTTGATAAGTATACTTAAGCTCTAAAATTGAAAAAACTTTTTTCAAAGAAATTAAAAATTAATATAGTTTTATTTTATAAGAATTTAAAAAAAATTTTTTTATAATATAAAATTAAATACCAATATAATATAATTTTTATTTTTAAATATTATAAAAAAATTTTTATTTAAATATTTTAAAATAAATAATAAATATACTTTTATTAATTTTTCAAGAAAATTTCCTTAAAAATAATTATAATTTAAAAGATATATAATATATTATTGATATTTTAAACTATATATATTGTTTTTTGTTTTTTTTGAAAAGAGCAAATAGCTATTATGCTTTATTATATTTATTATACTTTCACTTGCAAAGCAAAGTATAATATCCAATAGCATGTCATATGTCTCTCTTTGTTAAAAAAAGTTTAATGCAAAGCTCTTATACAGGACCTAACCTACAAAATATAGAAAAAAGAAATTCAAAAATCTATATTATTGCCTTGAATGGCATTTGACTACCTAGAAATAAATGAATATCTAATCACATGAAGGCACTGCAGATAATCTATACAGGTTGGCCTTCAAGTTATAATTAGGATTGTCATACCTGCTTTTCAAATATGGCTTGATATAAGGCAAATAAAATAGTGTTGGAGATAGTGAAAAGTGAATACCTTTTTGTATGAAGGTATTGTAGCCACTTTATACAGATTTGCCTTCAAGTTACAGAAAAGATTTGGTACACTTATATTTCAAGTATAATAGAAGTGTTCTATAGATAGAGTTTATATTGGTTTTCTTAATGGCACTAAAACCTAACTTTATATAATGGACCTATATTATTAAAGGAATAAGTAAGAAACTTTTATTGTTATCACCAGCTTATGTTGTAAGGGTAACTAGAATCCCTGGTCATTATGTATTATTTTACTAAGTTTCTCAATTACTAGCATAACATCTGCAACTAATCTAGCTTATTGCTAGTTATATTGGCATTGGCTACCATTTTACTTTAGATACTGTAGAACACAACTTCTTGAATACTTTCGAAAAATAATAGTTGTACGAAGGCTTCTTGAATATATCTAGTTTAATCACCAATCAGTAAACAGTATCGGGTTTAATAATAATAACCATATTGATTTTTTGGAGAGGGTAAACTGTTCATTCTTTTTCTAAGGGACCATGGAAGAGAAAAAATTTCCAAAGCTTATATTCTAAGAAAGATTACTGTTTCTTGATATAACCCTTAGGAAGAGGAAGTTGACTGGTTAGAGGAATGATGTTATGAGATAAAATTTCAAAAGAAAGAGAGGTCTAGAAAGAAAAATCTTTAGGAAAAAGGAAAAACCTAGTTTCAGCAAGAAAAAAAAGGAAAAAAGAA